GTATTGAAATCAAATTTTTATAAGAAGAATTTCATGAAAATAACGGTTATTTGAAATATAGATAAATTCTATATGATATAGATTCCGATATAAATATTTCAATTGAAAATAAGAAATTAAAAAATGTAAATTTATATTTTTACCTTAATTATCGATTTCATTATATCATAATCATTTATATATTCTAATTAATAGCTTTAAGCAGATGTTTTTATCGTGCTATCTATATCAAAGATATAATGATTCAATCATAGATTGAATTAAGAGATCATAAAATATAAATAGAGGTCGTATATTATTTCAATATTTTTAAGATTCAAAGATAGAAAATTCTGAATTTAATTGAATATCCGTAGAACACTTGAATAATCTTTATAATATTAAAATCAGAAAAATCATCTTGAGATCAAATTCTGCAATATTTATATTGGATATGGCAGATTTTCGGAATAATTTCTCGCATCAATTCGTGTGCATATATCGGAAGGCACAAATAAATTCTTAATCGTCTCATCTCATTCAGAGACATAATATAATCATTATCAGATTATCATTAATTTAAATTCATGATATATATTTTTTTTTATCTTTCTAATCTATATATTTGGTTTCATTATTAAATTCGAAATGTCTTTATATATATTTTTTCTAATATATTTCAATTTCTATTTTATAAAATTACGAGATTTATCTTTTTAAGAAAAATAAGCACTTTTCAAGAATCGATATCTTCAAAAAAATAAAGTTGTTTTTGATTCAGCTTTGAAATTTCAGAATTCTAAATCTTCTTTATCGTTTTCAAAGATTTATTTCGAATCTATTATTAATTTCATAATAATAGAGAATAAGATATAAAAAATATCTAATTAATATTCTAAATAATTTCATATCAAAATAAGTCAAAATATCTTTCTCTACGAAAAAATTCTTTTTTTTATCATCGCGATATTTTCGCGAAGGCATATTTATCTAATTGTGCAAATTAAATTCCTAAATTATATAAGTTATAAATTTCGCGATGACAAGTTTCTACGGGCATGAGAAACAAGAATATTCGATAATCTTCTTAGATGTTTCAATATTAGGTTATAATTATAATAATTAAAAAAGAAGTTATTATAAATTCATCTTAAAATTCAAATTCTTAAAAAAATTTATTGAAAATTTCTCCATTATATTTGTTTTTTCCCAAAGATAGGGTCGTAGAGGTTGCTAGATGAATCGTGCCAACCAACAGAGGAGTAAAATACTTTTCTAGATAAGATGATTCCGGAAATCGTAAAGATTTCTTAAGAAATATGTGCTTCGCAGCCATTCGCGAATATAGCCTATCATCTCATTTTCTTATTGATATCTAAATCGGATCATCAGAATAAAAGATTCAATTTTATCTGGATATTTTCTCTTCATCTTAATAATCAATCAATTTTCGAGAATGTAGTTCGTCAGGCATATTTATTATATCAAGATCGAATATCAAGATTCAGAAAGCCCGATTGTCTAAGATATGAGAGTATAAAAATAAATAATCTAATGGAATATTATCGAAGAATATCAAGATCCTTTTTCAAGATAATTAAAGATAATAGAAAAGTAAAATCCATAGTTTCTTACCAGGTGACATGAATCTAATATGATACCTGGCACAAGGGGTCCTGGTTGCCAAGGATGACGGAGATATCATGAAAGATTAAGAAGTGTATAACCACTCCATCTTCAGCAGACATACATAGCTCGCAGCAGCCAGCTTCTGTAATAGAACAAGAACACAGACTCGTTTCCTCTCGATGGTTAGATGGCCAATGACTCACCAAGCATGACCACTTCACCACTTAGCTCATGACCTTTAGTACCTAAGCATCAACCAATGATGGTTTCACCAGCTGAGGTGGCGAAGGCAAGGCACTGATCCCGCGGAACTTAGTGATACCATGACCGAATTGGCCATGGATCAAACTAATCAAGCCCTAAAACTGGGTGATCTGTTGCTCTATATGCAGTCTTTATGGCAAGTTCTGTCCGCATGTTTGGGCCATACCCAAATGGATGTGATTAAGTTTTGCGAGCAGTCCCGACTTTCACACGTTTTTCTGTCTTTCACTTTGGGAAGTGGCAATTGCTGATTGTGGCAAACAACATTTCCAGGCATTTTTGGCTGTGCAATTGGACTAGCTTGGAAGACACGAAAGGATTTCAACTGCACGCTCTCAAGCTTTGTGAGAGAAGCTATCCACTTTGGGAAGAGACCATGTTCATCCATGGTCAAACGGGTATTTTTCGTTAATAGTGGTTACCCCAAAACCATTGGTCTACGTACTAAAATGATGACTATTTGAAGGATTATTGGGTACTCACATCAATGAACACGTCCGTGTTCATTCTCAGCCTATTTGTCAGCCAAGGTTCCTTCCTCACTTGTCCCTGTGTTGCCATCATCCGCTGGGTACTGCAAGTCGATGTGAATGGGGCCACGAGGACGAAGGCCCATGGACCATAGGCTTGCCAGGGGCTTGCTGCTCAAATCTCTGTTCAACTCACGGCAGTGCATCTGCAAGCGCCGCAAGGAATCAGACTTGATATGCTCTGAGTAGTGTGACGTGAAAAGTTCACGCAGAGTATCCACCTTGGTCATGATGGGCAGTCGGAGTTCGATAAACAGACCATCCATCGACATCTTGATCTTCACCAGTTCTGCCATCTCTTTTTTCAGGGACTGCTCAGCTCGCTCACGGGCCCTCAAGGTCCTTTCGCAGAGAGGCATCAACATCTGATATGTCTCATGCCGCTCCTTCATGGCATTTAAGGCCTTCTCCACACTCTCGGTTGAAATACTGCTCATCAAGGACAGGTCTTCTTTGACCACAATCTGTTTCATCTCATCAATCAACTCGTCAACACTCCCATAAAAGGGAGCAACAGGATTCGCCACATAGCTGGCTGCCTCCTGCTCGAGCAACTTGGAAGAGGATTCCCCCATGGGAGGCACCCCACAACCGACACATTTAACTGACCGCAGTATCGCAGTGGTATCCGCTTGAGCAAGGAAAATTCCCAAGATAGCAATCAACCACCAAAATGCCCATGGATAGATTGAAAGAGCTGAAACCAGCGACAAACGAACGGTTTAGAATGAGACACTTCACACTGGATGGTTCTCTTCCACACACCCGTGCTCTAACGTGGCTGCCTTTCCAAACCGGATGAATGACGGCTCAATTCTCTTTCAGTTGCTGGGTAAGTAGACCCCTAAACCCTAAACCCCTAAACCCTAAACCCTAAACCAGAACCCAAAACCGACCGAAAGTCCCCGGAGGCAGAGGTGGGTTAGCGTGGTGCCAAAAGGGCTGAGATGACGGAGCGTGCATTCAACTCCGTCTGAAATCGAAGCAGCGATCTCTTCCCATCATCCTATGCTCTTCACTCCGGGACGTGTATTTTTTGGGATACGCCATGTTGGCAAAATGAGTTACAATGCCCAACCATGGTGTCAGAATGGGTTGACGATCCTTATCCTTGAAAGCACTTGCTGGTTTGGGCTCTCAGCCACGATTTCCCCGAGCCGCAGGTGACCCAGGTTGACCTCGTCGGCCAGTATATACCCATGGGCCCCTAAGTAGTTCCTTTTTATGGTTTATATGTAGAATCCTACAAGGAAATCCCAAAAAGGAACTACTTAGGGGCCTATGGGTATAGTTGAAAGCCCGAGCCCTTCCGAATATCTCATTTGTTGCTTCAACTCATGCCGTGCCGCAGGAGGCGAAATCTCGTCTCAAAGGAATTGTGGGACCGGCTCCTTGATGCATCAACCCCCAAAAGACCTGCCCCAAAACCCAAAATCTTACAACCCCATATCCGGGTTGAGGGTTTATTAGGGTTCCGGAACACCCAAAACACTCATAACTCATAACCCTAAACCGTAAGCCCTAAACACTCATATCTTTCAATCCCACGTCTGCCCCGCAGTCGGAGCAGGTCCCAATAAAGCAACACTTCGTGGATCTCGTGCCTCCGAAGGCACCTACGAGACAGGTCATCGTCAATTACAAAAGGCCATATAAAACAAAAAGTAGGTTGTTTTGGGGGTAAGGGTTTGGGCGCGGACTTCCTCCGATCAGTAAATCTAGGGCACTCTCATACACCTAAACGATAAACCCATGAACCCCTAAACCCTAAACCCTAAACCCCAAACCCTGAAAAGCCTTGATGTTTTGGGCTTCAGCACTCGCAGCTGCGACACGCCTGGCAAGGTTCCTAGTCCCAGTAGCGCACGAAGCATATTGGCCGAAACAAAAACAAATTGGGGACAAACCCCCTCAACCCTAAACCCTAAACCATCAGGAAGTCTAAGTGTCACTGATGCTTCGGAGTTAGGTGTTGGGATGAAGGGTTTTAGCGGTGTAAGCTTTCGGGCCATCCTCACAAGAGTTTGTACAGTTACATACCGCTGATGATATATAAATCCTCCTTACCTTAAGGACCCTAAACTATGGGAACTATGGCATCTTCCATGAAAATGGGTAATGCGGGATTTACATCATCAACCGTAGCTCAGGTGGCCAGTGACAGAACAGCCTTCATGCCTCCACATGTGTGCCCGAATGCCCACGGCACTTCGTAGGTTCAGGGAAAACCGGCTGAATAGTTTAAAAGGGCTCATCGACTGAACGGAATCGTAATCTCCATAGTCTGGTAAGGATACGGCTAGGGCCTAGGGTTCAGAAACATAAAGTTGGGGGTGTAGGGTGTAGGGTTTCAGGGCTAATCGTGCAACAGCATAAAGTTCAGGGTTAATCTAGTGGGTGGTGATCGGACCGCACTTCTGTCTGACGACATGCCTGGCTCACGGAAACGGGCTGCAGAAGGGGAAGAGTCGGTTTTTCACGCACTGGGCCCGGTTGTACGATTCACGCGTCCGCTCGACGCCCTGGTTCCAAACTACAAGATTCCTCACCCAGAAACCTAAGAATTGAGTTCGTAGGCCTACCTGACATATGAAGAAGCTATCCCACCGAACGCCCTCAGCTGGAAGCATCCCTACACCTCAGAACCATTTCCTCAACTCAGAGAGCGGGTGTGAGTGCAGGCCTCGACCTTGCTGGGAGCCACGAAGCCCGAAGCCCAACCTCCTCAAAGTCCGTCTTCCTCTGAAAGGGTTTCTAAACCCGAAACCCTAAACCCTAGGGTTCAGGTTTAATTAACCCCTAAGCCCTAAACCCCTGAACTCGTTAAACGCTTGAAAATCGCGTAAGAAAAGTCGATCAGAACCGGGCCCAGAGGGAGGCTATCTTCCTTCCTTGGCTTGGTGGACGGTGCCCTTGTTTAAGGGCCGCCAGAGTGTCACGGCTAAGGGTTTATGGTCAAGTATGGTGGCGAATTCTGGGTTAGGGCTTTCTAAACGGACAGTCACATGCTGGAAGTTCCCCTAAACCCTAAACCCTAAACTCTAAAACCCTAAACTTTCAAGACAGAAATGAATAGAAATTGCTTGTTGCTGTCGGCCATCTTGAAGCTCGTTTTTTCGGTCGGGACACAACCTTTCCATTGTCTAATGAACCAATTTCCGTTTCAGGGTGACCAACCCAGCCCCTTAGCCACCCCAGCCCCCCCAGCCGCCCCAACCGCCCACCCAACCCGCCCCCCCCAGCACCCCCCAACAGCCCCCCCAGCCACCCCACAAAAATTGCTGGACCGGCCCATTTTCAGTTTCTCCCATTTCCGTTCGTTGCAGCCAGCCCCAGCCCCAAGCCCCAGCCAACCGCCCACCCCCAGCCGCACCAGCCAAGCAGGCCACGCAGCCGCCCACCACCCCAGCCCAGAGCCCAGCCCCAGCCCAGCCCCCAGATTCAAAATATGGTTCCAAAAAAAAACTGCCCAAAANNAACTTTCGCCCAAAACTTATTGGCACTTAACCTTTAACAATTTCTATGAATCCCAGCCATTCCAACCTTGGATCTCTCACATGCTCTTTTGGCTTCGAAAACAAAATGCAATGGCTGCAACGGTTTGCTGTGCAACGCTTGAACCGCTAGGAGGCCTAGGTTTTAGGATTTGCTCTTACCAGTGGGACCCCTTGCGACGTAAGTCGACATGTAGGGAAGAGTTCAGGACAGAAAATCAAATCACTTTTCAAGGTCTGACACTGCCGGCTAGTGGACCATCCCGCCAGACTCGGCATGAAAAGCCTGCATAGCCATGGGCCCCTAAGTAGTTTTAGAATCCTATAAGGAAATGACCTCTTACTTGTGCTGGCCAACGCTGGTGGGCTTCGAGGCTCGCGTGTTCGAAGATCGTTGAACCCCCAGAAATCTACGAGGCCTACAAAATCCAAAAAACATTGGAATCATCAATTGGGACTTTCCGAAAATAAGGGGTACCCTATTTGGGGGTCCTTATAACCAGGATCCTACTATTTAGGGTACTATATTAGGGTCCCCTATTTTCGAAAACCCCCAATTAGATCCTTGTTCTTCGTAAAGGAGTACTGCTTTCATTTTGACTTGTCTTGTAATTCAGGCATTCCGAGCGTACTATGGTGAGAGGTTAAGGGTTCAAGGCCCCTAAATCCTGTATACAACCGTAAAACCTTTTCAGAGTCTACAGAAGCGACAAAGAAAGCACCGCGTCGGCCCCTTTGCTCGGTTGGGAAGCAGCTGCGCACTCGGACAGAAGGCGCAAGACAGGTTTAGTGCCTACGGGGTGTGTATACATCGATGTGCATACTTATATGTATGTATATATACACATTTTCATGCATATGTATATATCTATATACACATTACATTACATTACATTACATTACATTACATAACATTACATTACATTACATTACATTACAGTACAGTACAGTACAGTACAGTACAGTACATTACATAACACAACATAACATAACATTACATTACATTACACTACACTACAGTACAGTACATACATACATGCTTAAATAGCTGATACATACATACAGACATACATACATACATACATGCATACATACAGAAACGTGCGTGCACACACAACATAAGCTTGGATGTATGTACGGTTTAAGAGTTCGCAGATTCGTCTCATGCATACAAGACATCGACTGGCGCGGCATCCCACCCTAACACAAGCTCAAGATGGAACACATGAACGAGGCTTGGGTTAACTTGTTTATCGCTTGTTGAGGACCTCCCGCCCCCTTGTTTTGTAAACATGAGCTAAGTAAGCACTGACCCTACTCAGAGAGCCCAATACCCCTTAAATTAGGAATATACCTTAAAAAAAAGGGACCTTAATATTATGATTTAAGCTATGTAATTAAGGGGTATTGGGCTCTCTGGGTAACTATAGCTCTGCTGTAAACTCGTACAGCCGCTTGGACAGGTCGTGAGGTTGCCAACATGGGGAAGAGGCTGCTGAAAGGGCCTGGCAGACTTATCGCGGACTACTAAACCCTACCTATAGTCTCCGTTGTGGTTCTCTTTTGTTTGCCTTAGCCAAGGTCATACTGCGGCAGGACATCATACATACTCTCGCATGTTGGTTCTGAACACCTTGCAATACCCCTTTCCCCTTTAATTAGACTCCTGCAGCAAAGTCCTCCGTCCGGAACATTCAAGAACTATACTTTTAGTCGAATGGCTCAATTCCTCCGCTGGCCAAGCCACGTAACATGCACTTTTCGGTGCCCTGTCCTCCGCATGATTTATGGCAAATATGACGAAAATGTGACACAACTTTGATGCTGGCGATGTATTTATAACCCCCAAAACTAAGTACAATGGAAACTATAGGTAAACCCTACAGTAACGGTTCTGGGGTTTTCCCTAGACCCTGAACTGGCCTAAACTCAATCCTTTGTTGGAAGCGGGTTTCCGGACGCGGAGTGAGAGGTGAGCAGGGATTGAGCACGGCCTTCAGGCGACAGGCCCCGCAAGCCAAGGAAGAGCATCTAAGTAGTGTTTAGGGGCTCATTTTGGGGTTTAGGGTTTAGGACCCATG